TCTCTACGAGGGCTCCATATCGAGAGACCAGGTTGCAGAAGTGGCTGTGGAAGCATTGTTATGCCCGGAGGAGTCTTCCTACAAGGTCGTCGAGATTGTCACCGGAGCTGATGCTCCAAGTCGCCTCCTCAAGGATATGTTTGCTTCTGTTAAACAGAAATGAGTTCTTGAGCCTAATTAGATAGGGATTAGTAGCGATGTGCCTAATACGGCGTCAGTGAAGTGTGTTGTTCTAACTTGTAAGTCGCGGTTCATCAATGGATATTCAGAAGTATAAAACCTACCATGTTTTATCCGTGGAACTTCTTGCCCTATAAAACCTACCGTGTTGGTTTATCCAAAGAGAACCCACGACATCCCATCAGATTCATTCAAGGGAGTACCTAGAACTGCGAATCAACGTTGAGTTGGTTAGGTGGACAGTGGTTTCCCCAACCCACCAGGGTTCAAATTCTGTGCTCGCATTATTCCTGGATTTATTTCAGGATTTCCGGCGATGCGCTTTCAGTGGGAGAAGACGTTCCCGTCGACGATGAGGCGCCTACGGTGACTTCGTAAATCTCAAGATGATATGCCGGTTCAGTCTCTCGGAGGTGCTCATAGGGGTAGGGTGTGCGTGTGTGCGTTCATAGGGATGAGTGTATGCGCGTGTATATGAGCGCTTGTGTCTGTACTGATGCTAAAAAAAAGGGAGTACCTAGAACTCATCTAGATGAGATATAATTTGGTCTCGTTCATTTTGAAAATAAGAACAGATACAACCCACGTCAGCACACACGCATCTATAGCATCACATCTAATGACTATAAAAGGTGAATGAGACCAAATTACATCTCATCTAGATGAGTTCTAGCAAAACTGTTCATTCAATGCTCGGCCACATGGTTGGAAATCGGTTGCACGTGCTGGAATTTTGTCTATTTTGGGCCTAGCCTAATAGTAGTTTCAGAAATTCCTAATAAATCCTAGAGGCCCACGCAGCCCATTCGTGCAAGGCAAGAGGTGGAGCTAAAGTTTAGTTCCACATTGCTAGTTTAGAGGGAGTTGGACCTCTTTATAAGGGAGGTTTTTTCCCCACATGTATGAGGATGAGAACAAGATGGACATCCACGCGCGCTCCTCCTCCGCCGCCCGCCTCGATCTTCCCCATCCCGGCTTACGGCGTGCACCGCAAGTCGGGACAGTTCATATGTGAAGATGATATTTGGGGAGTGCTCAGCGCGACTACTCTACTTCCTATTTACCTTCTCTCTGTCATGCTTAGGAGAGAAGACACATGAATAGAGTGTTGTGTCATCTTGAATACCACCACATGATTGCACGATATATATGATTCAGTTCCACGCATGAGGTTGGAGTTGACGAAACAATTCCTATGATTTCTGATGGAAAAGAATCCTAAGAAAAAATATATCCTATAAGTTGCGATATATATGAATCAAACAACACACTTAGAACAGTTAGTCTAATTCACATTTAGATATTTTTTAAGGATGTCACGTCTAAGCTCCCATAAATAGATAATGCAGCAACAAGAAATAAAAAAAACAAGGACCAAAAAAATAGACCATAAACAGAGTGGAGATCAGTTTAGATGTGACATAACTATATCACATCTAGATGTGTCCTAGACAGACCCCACTTAGAATATCTTGGGCGATGTTTTCCCACCGTCAGATCAACCCCCATGGAATGTCCGCAACACCAATGATGTTTCCAAAATATGGGCAATGTTCCAAAGCGTCCCTCATTTCACAACGGCCGCCAACATGGCCGGTCTGCAACACCGATGATGTTTCAGAAACATGAGCGACGTTGCAGCCCAGCGGCCCGCATCATTAGCGCCTCCACAACCGATGATGTTTCTGCAACAATGGCCATGCTGCAAACTAGTGCGCCCAACATGCATGTTCCTACTGATAGTCGCAACATTATTGTCGGCATCCAGCACCTGGGTGGCCGGCACACAGCACCCCGGCAGGCTTGTAGCACTATGCCACGACGAAAACCCCTTTTGTAGCGGCGTCGCAATGTCCATTGCATCCATGAGGCCATCGCCTTGAAGCGTCACACAGGCTTCTGCTGATGAGAGCTTTGGCGGGCGACGACAGTTCCCCGTACCGCGTCCCCCTTCGCTCGCAGTAGCGTATCTGAGGTGCGGTGGAGTGACATTTGCTTAGAAGAAGAGGATAGGAGTGTGAAATATTGGGACGAACAAGCGGACATGAGAAGACTCGTGTTTTTAGAAAGTGGGGTCCATGGGCACGCGCCAAGCAAACGAGGCAGTCGACGTGCGACGTACTTTCAGCCGGCTGAGTGCAAGCATTTCCGTATTTCTACGGATCAGATCGTCTAAATTTTCAGGTTCCTGCACATTTTCTTAGTGAGTTGGAAGCAACTCATAGTGTGGGTCGGTGTAGCTTGAAGCGATGATTTCACTAGAACTTCCCGGGCCTTCTTAGATAGACCCTGCCCCTTCCATCCTCCAACTTTACCCTTTGAGCTCTCCAAGACATGCCTAAAAGCGTCGTCCTTGGACCTCCCCACCCGTGTGGGTAGGCCCAAATATTTTTCGCTTAGAGCCTCTGAAATCAATCTCGTCGAAATTCTGGTGGGAGCAACAAATGGTGAGAGGAAGGTGCATTGGATATCTTGGGACAAGATGTGTGAGGCTAGGAAGGAAGGAGGACTTGGCTTTAGGGACCTCGAGGCGTTCAGTCAAGCCTTGTTGGCCAAGCAAGCGTGGCGCCTCCTGTCGGTGTCAAAACCGGCAGATCTCGGATAGGGGGTCCTGAACTGTGCATATAAGGATCGAAGGTAACAAGGAGGTAGGGGACATGATGTTTACCCAGGTTCGGACCCTCTTAATGAAGGTAATACCCTACTTCCTGCTTGATTGACTATAATGAGTATAGGGGTTACAAGATTGATCTACCTCGAGATCCTAATGGCTAAACCCTAGATGTCTAGCCTGTATGGTTGTGATCGGGCCTATGGACTAAACCCTCCGGTTTATATAAACACCGAAGGGATCCAGGGTTGTACAGAGTCGGTTACAGAGAAAGGAAGTCATACGATCCGCATGACAAGCTTGCCATCCACGCAAAGGAGAGTCTCATCCGGACACGGAAAAAAGTCTTCTATCTTGTATCTTCACGGTCCATCAGTCCGGCCCATATCACATAGCCCGGACGCCCGAGGACCCCTTAGTCCAGGACTCCCTCACCCCCTAGAGCAGTCATCGTCCTTGTGTGCTCGCGTGTTAAAGGCTTGCTACTACCCGGACTGCTCCATTATGAATGCGGTGTGTCCCGCAGCTGGTTCTTTCACTTCCAGAAGTATCATCCATGGAAGAGAGCTGCTGCGAGAGGGGTCCATTTGGCGGATTGGTGATGGTTCTTCGGTTAATATCCACCACGGTAATTGGATTCCGCGGACAGGGTGTATGAGGCCACCGGGCCAGACCTTTGTCACGAGGGTAACAAAGGTGGTTGATCTTTTGTCGCGGGATGGTACGACTTGGGATGAAACAAAGGTGGACTCCATGTTCTGAGCTGACAATGCATATGATATCAAGCAGATAGCGGTCGGTGGGCTGGGAACCGAGGACTATCTTGCTTGGAGTTTCACACGAAACGGGGTGCTATCGGTTAAATCTGCCTATCACCTTAAGATGTCGATGAAGCGGATGCGTTCTGGATGGCCAGAGGCATCTAATTCGGTGGCGGAGCACAAGGGATATCTGACCCTTTGGGATTCAGACGCCCCGGGCAAGGCAAAGATCCATGTGTGGCGCCTGGTTCGAAACGGTTTGGTTTGTTGGGTCTGAGCTCCATAGGCGACGAATCAAGCCGGGTGTTTTTTGCACAGTTTGCGGAAGAGAAGAGACGGTCTTCCATAGGTTTTGGGGATGCCAACATTCTGCCCACTTTTGGAAGATGATGCGATCAAAACATGGCGTGGGGATAGCGCTACCACCTTGCCAGATGGATTCCTAGAGAGAGTTGGTTGACTGGCTGCTGGATTGGTTTGCTTCGGCGAAGGGCGATGAGAAAGAAGCTATGATTCATGCCACATATGGGCTGTGGCTCGCCAGGAATGAAGCGCGGGATGGTAAGAGGATGGTTTCCCCTCCAGAGGTCCTCCTCGGGTGTCATCCTCCATGCGTCAATGGAGGGAAGCTCATGCTGTGCCGGAGAGGTCGACGGTTGCCAAGATGGTGTAGCGGTGGGAGGTGCCAGAGGAAGGCTGGATTAAAGGAATGCGGATGGGGCGGTAGCCAAACAAAGAGATAAAGGGGTGGAGGATAAATCTTTGCTGATCATGTTGGGGGCTTTGTGACGGCGGCCTGACATTTCCTCCCTCATTGTGACGACCCGGAAAGTGCCGAAATCATGGCCTGCCTGAAGCTTCTTCAGTTGGCTCGAGAGCAGCATGTGCAGCGGATTTGTGTTGAACTGGATTGCCAAAGTGTTGTGAGGATGATCAACTGCCTGGAGAAGAACTTGGCGTCGTCTGGCCCTTGGGTGCAGGAAATAAAGAATTTGTCGAGAGAGTTTATGGACTACAGGGTCGTGTGGACTCGGCGTTCAGCGAACGAGGCTGCTCACAAGCTAGTTAGGGTTGGTGTAGGAGATGAAAGATCCCATGTGTGTGTGAGGTACCTCCAGATTTCATTCTGGATCTTGTAGCCAATGACATTCCGAACCTGATTTAATTAATGAATGTGTTTCCCTCCCTCAAAAATAAAAGAATGTTTTTCCCTAAAAAATCCTCTAAATTTTCGTAAATCCTTGGAATTCGGATAAAAAAGACCAAGATGTTTTTTAATCCACCCATCTAAAACAAACCATTATATTCAGTCCACCTCTCGCACGATAGACGGACGCGCTTCCTCCACCGTCTATATTCTTTCCCAAAACCGGCGACATTTTCCTCCCCTTCCAGAAGTACACAGCGCACACCACCACGCCTCGAGATCTCTCGAAATTCGTTCGTCCATGGCGATGCAACAGACCAGGGACCCCACCTCCAAGCTCCCCTCCGCCTCCCCCTTCGCCGGCACCAGCCCTCCCCCATACTACCACCACCACTACGGCACCTTCTCCCCTCCTGCTCCGCCGCCGCCCGTCGCTGCAGCCGCCTACGACCCCTCCCTGAAAGGTCAGCGCTCCTTCTCTCGCACTACCCTCCAGCTCCGGCCCTTCTCTGTGGAGACTGAAATGACTCCCTGTGTGTGTGTGCGTATGTGTCTTGGCGCGCAGGACGCAGTGCTCAGGGCGTTGTTGCTTTCCCGTGCACTATCCAGCAGCAGGTCTTCGTGGAGGGCCTCCCAGTCCTGGAGCCGCGGCTGCCGTTCTGCGGCGTCGGCGTCGGCTGGGCTTTGTAAGTGTCCTTCCTCCTTTTGGTGGTGTTTGTCTCCAATGCTACCGGTGTGGCAAAGTTAAGAAGCTCTTGAAGTAGGTAACAGTATGAGCAATTGGTTCAGTATGACTGTATGAGTACTTGGTATGTGAATGGGGGATTGCACGACTAACTGTTTCATTAACAAGTTCGGCGAGCAGCATTTGTAAGATATGCTTGCTAGTGAGAATTTGTGAGGTGCTAGTACTGGTATTGGTCTGGTTGGTAAGGGCCCATGGCCATAGTTATAATATATGGTGCGATCAAATGGTACTGGAATTGGATTAGGATATAAGTTGATGCATCAGCAGAGGATTATCCTAAACTGGCATGGTTACTTCTGAGTGTGTTGTCTACTGCTTTGCTATCTACTAGTAAACTGACATCTTTTATCATCGGTATAATATTCATATTGAGGAGTTTCTATAAGTTCATTGTTCTTACCTGCAAATTTAAAATGAAAGCACAATCAGTCCATATTAAAGACTTTAGGTTGGTTTTGTTTTGAAGGTTCTTACTAGGGTTCTTCTTGGCTGCAATTCCCTGGTATATTGGTGCTTTTCTTCTATTCTTTGTTGCTTTGGATCACCGGGAGAAGCCTGGATTGATTGTCTGCACAGTTGCTGTAAGTACTCCATTTTCTAAAGCTTATCACATAGTACTAGCATTTTCTTCCGGTGCAAAAGAAAAGGGCTGTTGTTTGTCTTTTGTATAAAATGAACTGAAAACACTTAGATACTTATTAATGTTTCCTTACACGAATACTTCCTGTAAAGTTGATTTTATAAAGCTGTGTGATCTTTGTTTCTGAGACTGAAAGTGCTTCTATCTCAAAAAAAGAAGAAGCAAAAAATTTAAAGTGTTTCTTCTTCAGTTAAAAAATATACCACTAGCACCATTGACCTTTTTGTTAGTTACTCATTATGTGGTTGAGAAGTGCACTAAAAATCATCCATTAAGGGCCGTTTTGAAATGCTAGTAGTAAGCAACGATGAACACAACATCCTACATCTGCGCTAGGATATTGACTTGTTAGCATATGTTCCCTTGGTTATTATGCCTAGAAACAAGAACCAACCCAGCTGAACAGTTGAAATAACATGGAGCTGCATCATTTTTGAGAAGATAAATATTCAGAGCTACGAGCTACAATATCAGAAATTGTCGCATGAGACATGAACATGGAACAAACAAGTAGCCTCGCTTACCATATGGCTTGATGTATATGCCTTTGGCTTAGTTTGTGTCGAATGGTACATCTACAATGGCATGTCGCAATAGAAAGTTTGCCTCTCTCGACCTGAATGTTACACGGAGAGTTGTGCCAAAGAAATTAGGTCAGTTGAACTGTTGAGGTCGAGCTCGATGCCTGACGTTGTAGTGCATTTAAATTATTCCAGTTTTTGTTGGCTATAACAAAAAATTCTCCTGCAGGGCATTTTTGCAGTAGTCCCTTTCATGCTCAATGGCATAAGAATGCGTCCGTTCTTTTTTTGAGAACGAATGCGTCCTTTCTGGTGACGTTGGAGCCTGGAAGTCATCAATCCAGATTCTTGATGGCCTTATTCTGTCATGCTGGAAGTCGGCAATTCAAATCCACATGTTCCTCACCATATTTGTCATGTCAATAGTTGTACCATACGGTTCATCCATGTGAATAACACAATCAATTATCCTATATCATTCACAGGGGCGTATATATGTGATCTTCTTTTTAGAAAAGGAGGACGAACCCCGGCCTCTGCATCTGGGAGATGCATGCAGCCACTTTATATATATGTGATCTGTGTGTTGAATTGTTAGTCCAGAAATTTATTTTCTGAGATATAGTAATATGTTGTAACTGTGGTAGCAAGATCGTTTGTTTTGAAGAGTGGTTTTTTATTGTGAAACAAAATTTTAATAGAAATTTGTACTCCCTCCACTCACAAATATTAGATGTTTTGGATATTTTAATATGAACTACATATGGACTGAAATGAGTGAACAATCACACTAAAACGGGTCTACATATTTAGAAAAAACAAGTACTACATCTTGTATTTCTGAACGGAGGGGTATCTTAAAAAAACGTTGCTTCTGTCAGGTAACGACGATGTTTCTTTATTGTCGGGGAATCATATGGTTCCAAAGTCATGAGAATAAAAGTAGAGATACTTTATTTAGGCATTCTCGGTGTATTTACCTCACAACTAAATAGCAATCAGTCTTTTTATATTTGGCAACTCAACGGATAAATCATGGACACATAGCCATTTTGTCAATTTATAAGCAATGACAGAAACTCTATGATTTATAGCCAAAACGTAATCTTATTTGTCAATTTGTTTTGTATCAAGATTTGTCCTGTATAATCTTTTTGTTGCGTCGGGTTTTTTTTTCGAGGGAAAATACTGCCGCTTTATTAACTTACGATGTTCGGAATCTCATCCGACAAAACAGAAAGAACGATGTCCGGAGGAGCCCCCAACCAAACCTTACATAGTTCGTCACCCACTCCTCCACCAGTAGCCCCCAATCAACAAAGGATCGCAACAAGGATTTGATCTCCTCCACCAGTGGCCCGGACGCCGAAAGCTCCTTTGTGTGTTTCTTCAGCATCTGCACGACTCCTTGAGAGTCTAACTCCACATACACTAGTGTCGCATTGATTTCTTTTGCTACCTCAAGAGCCTGCTTACATGCCAAGATCTCAGCCACCTCGGGATCGACTACCTCCTTGAAATGGTGGCACATACCTGCTCTGCACGCTCGCATATGATCCTTAAGCACAGCACCACCTCCAGCCTTGTCCCCCATCTTTGATGTTGCGCCATCGGAGTTCACCTTGGTCCAACCCTCGTCCGGTGGCTCCCATTTCTGATGCTGCAGGGGAGCCGGAGCATTACCTGTAGCGGGATGTGCCAGCACCCACTCCTCTATCTGCCCCAAAATCGAAACCAATATTTCATGTGGATGTTTGATCATCTTCCCTTCTCTTGTCTCGTTCCTAGCCAGCCATAGGCTGTACAGCGCCTGCACCGTCGCCTGCTTTGCTTCATCGGATGCTCCCGCTAGCCACTGCAGTAGCCAACGTGCTACCTCTCTCTGGGAGTCCATCTGGCATGGTGGGATCGCCACCAAATCTCCCTTCTCCGAGCAAAATAGCTGCCAAAAAAGTACAGAGTGTGGGCACACCCAAAACCGATGAAATATAGTTTCCTCACGTCCACAAGCAACGCAGAAGACCCCAGGTTTTATCCTTCGCCGATGGTGTTCTGATCCGACTGCCAGTCCATTTGAAATGAGTCTCCAGAGATGAATCTTGGCCTTTCCCGGTGCGTTCGTGCCCCAAAGGGCCATGTACGCCTTGTGTTTATCCACCGAACTAGATGACTCTGGCCGTCCGGAGCGCGATCTAACCATGGCCATTTTCAGGTGATAAGCTGATCGTACAGAGAAGATTCCATTCTTTGTGAAATTCCACGCTCGGTAGTCGTAAATACCCAAGTCACCCACCACAATCTACAAAATGTCAGTTGCATCGTCCGGGGTGAACATCTCCCTGACTCGGTCGTGATTCCAGCTTCTTCCATCCGGTAAAAGGAGGTCGGCCACCTTAGTCACGCTAGGGATATATATCTGTCCCAACGGCTTCATGGACCCGCTCCTCGGGATCCAGTTACTGTGATGTATACTCACATTGGAGCCGTCTCCAATTCTCCAAACCAGGCCTTCTCGAAGTAGATCCCGGCCATGCAAAATGCTTATATAAGTGTATGAAGTCGTAGCAGGACACGTTGCGCTCAATATGGATTTCTCTTTGAAGTGGCGCGCCTTGAGCACTCTTGCTACCAACGACTCCGGGCATTGTAGGACACGCCATGCTTGCTTTGCAAGTAGAGCCTGATTAAACGCTATCGGGTCACGAAAACCCATCCTTCCATCCCGTTTAGAGGTGCACATCTTTTGTCATGAAATCCAATGTACTTTTTTCTCACCATCCTTTGCCCCCCACCAGAATTTCGACGAGATAGAATTCAGATTCTGGCACGTTTTCTTTGTGAGGTGGAAACAACTCATGGTGAAAGTTGTTACTGCTTGGAGACCAGACTTGATAAGTACCTCCCTTGCCTTCTTGGAAAGGCCCAAACCCTTCCAACCGCTGCATTTTCCTTTTGAGCTCTCCGTGACATAGTGAAAAGTGACCTCTTTTGATCGACCAACCAGTGTTGGAAGACCGAGGTACCGTTCACTAAGTGCTTCCGAGGTCACCCCCAACACCGCTTTGAGCTCTTCCTTAGTGTTGTCCTGACAGCCTTTGCCAAAGAAAATCGAGGATTTTTGCAAGTTCACCTTCTGTCCCGAAGCTTGCTCGTAGCTGGCTAAAATCTCCCTTAGCGTCTCTATCCAAGAACACAATGTTGTCATCTGCAAAAAGGAGATGTGTGATACGGGGGCCAGTGCTCCCAAACGTCACTCCTTTGAGTCTATTTTCTGCTTGCGCTTTCCTCAACAGTGCAGAGAAACCCTCAACACAAAATAAGAACAAATAAGGCGAAAGAGGATCTCCATGTCTGAGACCTCGGGAGGGTAAGAAACACCTAGAGCATGCACCATTAAGCTTTACCGAGAAACTTGCAGTCGTCACACAACGCATGATCATCTCATCTGCTTCAAGAACACCCACTCAACACGGTCATAGGCCTTCATCATATCAAGCTTTACAACACATAAGGGTCTCTTCCTCTTCCTATTGCGAGTTGCATGGACACACTCATATGCTACTAGCACGTTATATGTGATAAGGCGTCCAGGCACGAAAGCACTCTGCTCCTCAGATATAAGCAAGGGAAGTATACTCTTTTACCTGTTGGCCAGCACCTTTGTTGCATTCTTATAAAGCACATTACACAAGCTAAGCGGTCTAAACTGGGACAACAGCTCCGGTGAGTTGACTTTAGGGACCATAAATATCACTGTAGCATTAAAACCCTCCGGTGTAGCTACTCCACTCAAAAAATCCCGCACACCTCTGCAAATATCATTCCGGAGCAGCGACCAGTGTCGCTGATAAAAGAGCGCGGGGAGCCCATCCGGCCTCGGGGCTTTAGTCGGTCCCATCTGAAATAGAGCCGTCTCTATTTCAGAATCTGAAATCCGTGTTGTCAATGTCGTGTTCATCTCCCGTGTCACAACCCACTGAATGTTTTGTAGCACCCCCTCCACCCCCACCGAACCTTCCGATTTGAACAGCTCTTCATAGAACGATGCGGCCATGACTCTCATCTCCTCGTCCACAGTACACCTAGAACCATCCGGTCGCCGCAAAGCCTTGATGGTGTTCTTCCTTTTACGATGCGATGCCCGGTTCTGAAAATACTTAGTATTTTGATCACCTGCCTTAAGCCAATCCACTCTCGAGCGCTGTTTGTACATTATTTCTTCTCTTCCATACACCTCCCTCAATTGCTCTTCTAGCTCCTGAACCTCGTGCTGATAGCCCGAGCTAAGCGCCCGTTTCTTTGCTTCCAACAATTATGCTTTCAACTGTTTGATCTTCCTTCGTATCGACCCAAAGACCTCGCGCGCCCATATCTGCATCGAGCCCGCCATTCTTCCTAGTTTCTGCCATACTGTCGTTACTCCCTCCTATCCCGTGCTCGCCGCTTCCCAAGCCTCCGCTATCATGGACTCATAGTGTTCATGCTTGGTCCAAGCCTCCTCATATCTGAACGGCCAATCCCCCACCCCCGGGCGCTGTGGAGCCGTCTCCAATATACGCACCAGGAGAGCTTGGTGATCCGATTCTTCACATAACAGATGCTCTACTGAAGTCTCAAGAAACAAACTCAAAAACCATCATTACATGTGGCACGATCCAACCGAACCTGAATATTATCCTGTCCATCCCGTTTGTTATCCCATGTGTAGGGGTAGCCAGTGAAGCCAAGATCAGCCAAGCCGCAGTCGGCTAGGCAATCTCGAAAATCCTCCATTTGATTGAGGCACCTTGGGTTACCCCCCACTTGATCAATATGGAAGAGGGCCTCGTTAAAGTCGCCGACACAGAGCCAAGGCAGATTATCTTGGGCCCGAAGAAAACGAATAGCATCCCATGATTTTTTCCCCAATTCGGTTTTGGGTTCTCCATAGAATCCAGTGATCCTATAGAGTTTACCCTCCCAAGCAATCTCAGCATCTAGAAAGTATTGGCACCACGGCCTCACTGTAACTTGAACATGATCCCTCCATCACAATGCCAATCCCCCACTTCTTCCCTTGCAACTTACCGCAACTCCACTAGTGAATCCCAGACTCCATTTCAACCATTCCATTGCTCTAGCTGATTTTTTTGTTTCTGAAAGGAACACC